TCCTCTGAGGACAGTTTGTGTGTAGAGTTCTGAACATATACCACAGGATCTGTACATTTCTCCAACTTTCAAATTCCTCTACCAAAACTCCATAGTGCACCTTTAAGCTGCTAGCCTCTATAAAAGACTGCTGGTAAGCACAGGCCCAGGTTTCATTTGAACCGCAAACTTTTTAGCCCCAACTTCTGACACTGAAGAAAGTGACATCACTGGTTTATGTTGAGTGATTGATGTTCCTGTTATAAATGTAATATCTTATTTCAATGTATTCTTATTAACTCTGTCCCTCAGATTATCATTTCTTTACTTTTATTTATCTTCACTTTGTCAGTTAATTTTCATAAACGTTATAGGTTGAATGTTTTTCTTCGTTTGAAATTTCAAACTGACAAAAGTCAATAAAATAATTGAAAAAAAACTATAACTTTGCTACATTTAAGCTAGCGTAGACTAATGAAATCCTCACGATCAACTAATTCAACTCTTTGAATTAGGAGAACAACAAGGCATCTGTATTTGTCGCTTGCTTGTAATAAGCCCATAGACATTATTGCATGGTATCACTAGGTGCACTGTGTCCAGGCTCTCACACACAAAGAGTCTTTTAAAAGGCAGACCTTTAGTGAAAGGTAGCATGCTTGTTGCCCAAAAAATTGTGTGACAAAAAGTTGCTTAATGTAGTTTGCACTGACTAAAGAGTGTTGCTGTGCTCTCCCAAACACCCCTGGCTGTCATGGAAGATTTGCACCATTGTTAATGTGATGATTCTTCAAAGAGAGCTGGAGTTAAAGAAACAAAGTGGAATAGAATTTAAAAAACACTACAAAAGAGGATTGCACTGTAAAGCCATGTACTGTAAATGACAGTGGAGAAGCTATTTATCACTCTGGCTGAACTTTAACTTTACTTTGTTTCATAATTCTGCATGAGATGTAAGATGTATTACCCAGATCAGATGTAAGATATATATCGAGTTCCTCATTAGGTTCCTACATTGGACTTTCATTTCAGTTCTCAAACATGCAAAAACGCCCAAGCATTCTCCTACATTCAACACTTGCTTCAACATAACATCACTCTTTGATTTTTTGGAACCAATATGCTATTGTTATACATCTAAAAATAACCAGTGTCAATTTAAAATTATCCTTGTGTGTCTTTCACTTCTTTTTCATTTCCACTACCCCTCCTCTCTGCCCTTCCTCCTTTTCCAAATAAGCACTCCTGGAATGTGAGAGCATAAACGTGTTTACAGGACAAATATGAGCAGCACACAAACACAGGCTTAGTCACTGACTCCTCATAGGAACAAGAACCTAAAATGTAATGGTGTAGTCTGCATTGAATCTGTAACTCCTGGAATACATTTTAATCTGCGATCGATCTAATCAAAGTAGTGTCTTTTATTTTGGTAGAGAACTATATAGATACATTTAATCTATGTAAAAAAAACGTCTCATTTTTTACTTTGATTAGATATTACCTGAGTCAGACAACGAGCAAAGCAAAACAGCATTTTGAGTTGAGACACTTCACCTCTTTAGCTGCTGCATTTGAAATCTGCCTGAAGCCCACAGGATTTACCGGTATACTGCAGTCACACACACAACTTTTCCCAAATACCGGCTCCAGCAGGATCTTTCCTCTTGTGAAAGTCTCCTTCCTGGCACACTGACACTAAATGCCACTCTCTCCAAAAAGGTCTCAGAGGATTACTATTCAACATGTGGGGTCTCTTCACAACATCCTCCGTATCCAGCCTCACACTGTGTGTGTGTGTGTGTGTGTGTGTGTGTGTGTGTGTGTGTGTGTGTGTGTGTGTGTGTGTGTGTGTGTGTGTGGGGGGTCTCACAGAGAAGATCAGCAGGGAGAAAGTTGAAGCGATCTCTGCTTTACTGAACTAATTGCTGTTTATGCACAGAGGCATATCAGACAAGTGAGAAATAAATGTGTGGGGAACTGCAAATTCAAGACTATGAAGCATCATTTTCCCACATAGTGGGATAATAGCACACGTGTACATGTACACAGTGTGTGGATACAGCAGACGATCAAATGCAGTTTGGGTAATGTTTGTGTGTTTAGAGTGTGTGAGCATGCAGAGGGAGGTACAGTAGGTGTATTCATTTCAGTGAGTAAGATGTTCTCCTCGCTCAACTCACATCCTATATAATGAGGAGCTCTAATTAAGAGCATGTCCTTTAGGACTGGTAACCCCCACTTTCCTAACTCCTTTCTTTCTTTGGGATCAGGCCTTTTCTATTGCAGGACCAAAACTATGGAACTCTTTGCCCCCAGACATCCGTCTCTCTCCCACTATTGGTGTTTTTAAAACTCGCCTCAATCAATCAATGTTGTGTTTAAAGTGCTATATAAATAAAGTTGATTTTTTATTTTTTTTGATTTGATTTCTTTCTGCTTCTGTGTTAAAATGATGACATTTTGGAAGACTTAAATCGCTCATGGTTGATTATAACATTAGTGCTCCAACAGAGGTATATTTAAGTCCATACAGTGGGAGACATTAGTTTTCTTTGGGTACTATCCAGTGGTTGAATAAGCATGTTAGAATGTTAACTGTTGAAACTGTGTGTTGATGCTACTCTTGGCTACAGCTAAGAAATGTCTAATCTCAATGACTCAAAACTGGCTCAATAAAACTGAAATCTGCTTTTACATGATTCACCAACAGGACAGAACCTCAAACATAGTAAGGCTACTACAACGTTCAGAAGGTTGGCTTTAACCTCCTGCAGCCTGGCACTCCACCAAACCCTACTGTTAAGCATCTTTAAGAAGCCGGATAATCTCCTCGTAGAGTTGACTGCCTTTGGATCATTTGTGGTTACTGTTGGTATGACAACACAAGTACTCAGAGTTTGGAGAATACGCTCTGCATTCATAAAATGATTGCTTTGCGTCTTCTTTAATGTGATTGGTGGGAACAGAAGTCTGTATATTGATAATCAACATCTACTTAAATTGAAAGCTTGATGACAAAAGTGGCTGAAAGTTTGAGTCTGGACTCAATCATAAATCAACTAAATTCTACTTGTATACAGACTTGAATATTTACTAAATGATCTTAATATACAGTTACTACCTTTAAAGCTGCTCTTCTCTGACAGAGAGGGGTCTGAGGGATAATTGGAGGGATACGGCACAAGTCAAATGATTGATAACACAATATATTATCGACTTGACTCGTTTGATATTCTGATTGAATCGTTAATGCCAAATATTGATTTTTTTTTTTTTTTTTTTTAAAAGAACAACAGCGCTCTAAAAAGATTTCCCAGCCAATTTGACTCTCTGCATCACTACTTCATGACTCCTCATGGTGGCACTTACAACATGAAAGAGGGTAACGTAAACTTGCGTGTGTTGGACAAAGAAGAAGTTGACAGCAGACGAAAAGAAGAGGAAGAAAAGAGCGGATAATGTTGTACAGCAGGGAAGTGCAGATAAGAGATAAAGCAAAATGAAACACAAACCAACTCCTTTTTTTTTTGTCATTAAGGCCACTTGGGTCTTTTTTTGTAGAACAAATCCCAGTGAGGCTTCAACATTGATTCACTGATTAGAGGAGCAGTGAATGTTTATTTAGATTTCTTTTTTTTTAACTCTACATCAAAATAACTAGAACTCACTTGCGTAATGACTCAACTTGTTGTTGAAAGCTACAAACATGCAAACAGAAACTTTAGCAAACACAGACACACTTTATCAACAGTCTCTGGACCCTTGAGGGTTTTTTTTTTTGCTGAGTGTGACGCCCACCTCCATCTGTCACAAGCTAAAACTCAGAGCCGAGTTTAACAACAAGACAGAGCACTGAGTGCCGCTAAGTTTCAAATGATGAGTGGACGGGTAGAGGAAGACGAGATGGAGACTGAGATCAGGGTCCTGGCTGAAGCTTTTTGAATTTGACATTTGGAGGGCGGGATTTGTTCATCACAGTGAGTCAGACTAGACTGCTCCAAACTAGAGCATGCCACACTTCTGTTTCGTTTCTTTAGTGACTGTGTTTTGGGGATCAAGCCTTTAATATTAATATTGTTCTTTCGATTTTAGCCCTTTTATTGTCAGTAGCGTGTTGCTGCTGCAGTAGCTAAAATGGCAATTAAAGAACAGAGGTCAGGAACACATTTATCTGCACTAGTAACAGCACCTCGTAAATCTGATGACCAAGGACAGCTTTCAAGGACAAGGTGGACACCAATCAGAGTACTGAATGTGAATCAGGTTTTGTTTGTTTGACCTAGGAACACATTTGCTGTCTTGACTTGGGTCTCAAATGTTAGCTTACCAGTGGACAGCAAGCAATCAAAGAAATCTACCTTGTTACCTGTATATCATCTTCTTCAACATTTTATGAACTTCTATTGGGCACTTATTTTTTCTTTACTATAATTTTTTTTTCCTGATTAACAAGGGATAATTTCAAATATTCTGTACTTGTGTTGTACACTATTGCTTATATAATTTTTTGGTTGATTTATGTCGCTATATAATGACATACTTCCATGATCTTTACACCCTGTTGAAGGCTCTGATGAACTGAAAACACGATGTTAGCTACCTATAGCCATGAACTGATAAAGTCTTTTGAATATTTGTAACACAACAGAGGGCCTTGGATATATTTTTTGTGTTTGCCTCCTAAACTCTTCAGAAGACTTTTTCATGGTTACATCCCAGGCTCCCCAAAGAGCACCTGTTTGCTGTGCATCTAACCATTGATCTTTCAGTGAAGACCAGTTTGGCCCCAGATCAGCTACTTAATGGACAGGGTGTTCAGACTGCTTTGTCAACAGCGATGTCAAAAGTCAAGAATGATCTCTGAAACAAGGAGAGCTATGGGAAGAGGTTTTAAAAGAGCCTGATCTCCCTTTAATCAGCTTTTCGAAGGTCAGACCTGCTATTTCACCCACGCTGAAGCACCCAGCAGTCACAGGTTGAACTGATGCCTCACCCCATTGATCGTAAAGATAACATACCTGCAGGATGAGGACAAAGTAGTCCACGGGTTTGCCCCTCTGGTAGACGTAGTGATGGGGCGAGCGCTTGTCGCTGTCGTTGAACTTGATCTCCTGGATCACGTCTGGATGGCGCAGGATTCTCAGCAGCACTTTGTCTGACACCTGTGATTGGCTGAACAAGCTCACCTCTGCAGGAGGAGATGAGGAAATTATGTTACGCTATATTATACAAGTCTATTTTTAATGACACACAACACAAATATCACCCTAGGTTTTTGGATATCAGTATAGTTCAATACACACATCTTTATATGATGCACCTATACAACTGTGTAGCGGCTACTTTCTCACCTGCTGACATCAGATTCAGGTTCTTGTCACATGAGTCATTCATGCTTTTGTCTGTAGTACAACATGTTATTATGTAACAAGGTGTGTGCCAAGTACATCTGCTACACACAGTTTAATGTACCCTGAACAAAGGAGTGTAACACATAAACTTTACCGTGACAAAGTTAATGAAGAAAAGGATTAAAGGATGAAGTGATCAAGACGAATTAGAAAGCACATTAAACTAATCTAATGCTTTCATTGACCTAAATGGATTTTACATGAATTAAGACCTGAGCTGCAAAAATGTGTCAATTAGTTTATAGTTGAATTGTTCATCAACTATTGGCCATTATTGAATCATCATAAATATATTACAAATTAAAAATTGTAAACTGAATGTATATTCTAACTTCGACTCTCTGATGGACAAAATAGGACTTTTAAGTACCATTGCCTGTGGGAAATTATTACACAGGGTCTTTAATATTTTGTGTACTGAATTGTTTTATGTCAGGGAATCTTTATTTGCAGTTACAGTTCCCTTTTTTATTTATTTCTTTATGTAATACTTTTTGTAACCTGTGATGTCTTAAAGATGGTTAATCTATTTTCACACTTTTACACTAATAATCTAAATGCCAAAAGAAAATGTCAAGCCAGGGCTATACTTGTGTTGAGCATTTCTTAACTATTTTTGACACCACACAGACACTTATTCAATAAATCTTGGAATTAGGAAGTAGATTAAGGGAGGCTTAAAAAATATATATTTTCCTAAAATAAGCCTGGTGAATTAGTTATTATCTGCCTTCTTGTTAATAAAGCAAGTTAACATAATTGTTGATTTTTTTTCCTGTTAGAAGAAAGAACTGGTGAAATCTCAAATCTCCGTAGAGGAGGCTGTTGCAATAAAGGCTCAACCCGAAGTGCCTTCAACCCCACCCAAGCTGAGAACAAAACAACAGTCCACCCTGCAAACAAAACCCTCTCAAAGCAGCGAGAGGTGAGGCGTACACGACCGATGTCGACATTCATCATCTAGAAGGCAAACAAACTCCTTTCACTCTGGTTAACGTATTATATGAACAAGTTCGTCTGGTTTATTTAATCAAGACAAAAACTGTTAGTCACTGCTGTGGCTCACTTATGCAAAACATTTTCACCGCCTATACATTTTATCATCTTCACGGTTTGTTCATTTTTTTCTTAGTACGAAAAGACATCACACTTACAAATCACTGCTGCTGCAGAACACTGATGTCCTTTAAGTTATATCATAAAGCTTTACACTATGCTGCCATGATCCACTCCAAAAAAGCTCCCTGACCTGTGTCTGGATCATATCTCTTAAAGATCAGTGACACTCCAGGTATAAAAACACCAAAATCAAACTAAATGTAAAAAGAGCTGGGTGATGATCGTTGATATGAGCAAGAAGAAAAGCAGGGAACAGAAACGTCCTGGGCTGAAAACAGAACGGCGAGGAGGAAAAAAAAAAAAAAAAAAGTCCTGTGTAATGTAAATAGAAAGAAAAATAAAAGCATCAATCTTCAATCATCAACCAAAAGAAAACCTGCAGACACTGCAGCAGATTGGAGTCTGACTTCCACCTGTATTAAGTGTCTGTGAGACTAGAAAGTGCTACGTCATGCTAGCATTGGCTAGCTAATTCTGGCAGAGCATATCAGCTAACGCTCCCTAACTGGACATTGTGCAACATGTTCTCAGGTGAATTGTAGCAGTGTGGAGGCATGACATCCAGCTGGCCTGCATCCAGAGTCTTCTTGTGGTGGTAAGCACAGGCAGGCTTACCGGTACTTCTCTGATTTTCAATATGGCCTTCCAAGTAAAGAAACACATTTAAACTTGGTCCCTGCCTACAACAATAATAATAATATTTATATTTGTACAGCACTCTTTAATACAGCTGAGCAGGTAAAAACAGGACTGTACAATCTTCTTCCCTTGAGGCTCAAGCATGTTTGAACCCGCTGAGCTTGTCAGATGGCAAAATGACAGAATCCATCCTGACATAATAACAAGGATCTGTTGTGTCTTCAAATCCCAGATAAATGATCAAATGCACAGTCAGTTTACAAATGATAAATAATGTACTGGCAGCATCAAGTATTATTGTGATGAATGACTCTGTGTGCATGTCTGTGTGCATCTGTCCGTTCCCTACCTGTAGCAAGGAAGCGATGAGCAGCGAGCAGCAGCTGAGGAGAGACCTTCACTTTTGATTCGCTCTCGTGTTTGAAGGCAGAGAAGTCTCTCTTATTCTTATTGGGTGCAACCTTTTTCCTGTTACGGTTATCAGCTGAGAAGAGACACACACATTAGATCAAAATATTCATCCCTGCTGATTAAAGAAAAAGCTTTGTTGGTAACTTACTGTAAAGATCTGATTCATCCAGAATCTCTGATTTGATAATCTCCTCGATCACGTCTTCTAGGGTGACCAACCCCACCACCTCGTAGAAAGGATCTCCCTCCCCCTCGTTGTTCACCTTCTGGACGATGGCCAGGTGAGATTTTCCTAAAGTGGAGGAAAGGGATCAGGAACATAAGTGGGGTGTTCGGCTCCCTAATACATCTACTCCATAACGCCTTTGAATCAAGTCTGGCAAAAGCAGGGTGGAAGGAGAAAGGTTTATGCCGGTTATGCCAACATTTCCTGACATGTTGATTTTTCATGACGATCCAGAGAAGCAAAAGATTGTAATCTCAACTATTGGAAACATTTTTCTCTATAAACGGCACCCAGAAGGATCAGTCCGGAACTACAAATACACTGAAAATGAAAAGTAAATTACTTAATACATTTCTTTTGGAGCTGTTCTCTAAAAACACTCGCAGCTGTATTCTGCATGTTCCTTCAAAATAAAACTACACAGTTGTCACTTCATATTGTCAACACACCTCAGCTTTTCTTTGTATGCTCTACCTTACACAAACCTTTGCTAAGTCCCTCATTATGACAAACAATCATATCGTGATGGATATCTATCTGATAGCGGTCTTTTCTAACATTCACCCATCAGCCCACTCTTTGTGCTTGCACCACATACAGCCTGTTAATGTGTATGGGTAGTTCCTGTTGGGATTGGGTCTGGACTTTGGCCAAGGGTGTTACATTACATTTTCTCCTCTTCAATCCAGACAACTCAGAGCCTGTATGAGGGTTCACATGCAACAACTGGTCTAAAATAGACTCTCTCTCTCTGACAGACATGCCAATATCAAGAGATTTGTTTCAATTTGCAAGATTGTTGAGGGCTATGTAATTTAGTTGTCTTTCATTTTGGTTAAAAAAACAGCATCTGTGAAGGGTATCACATTATTGTTATCATTTGGAGGATGGTTCATTTTAATGGTGCTGTTGTGATGTTGGCTAAATGACATGCTGAAACATTTTGATTGACTCTCGGGCAATGTGTTAGAATAATAATGTGGGATGGGTCATGTAAATGACCTGACATGAAAATAAATAAATATTCATTCATTCATTCGGTACACTTTTCATTGTCATTCTAGCCTGCAACCACAAGGTACTAGATCATGATAAGGAACAAAACAAGAGAGAAAAAGAGATGGTAGAGGATTCATCAACTGTTTGTTTCCAAAATGAGAGCAAGAGATCAATGGGATTTACAAAGAGCTCATATGACAAACGATTAAAAAGAAGACCAGAGGCTTTAAGTGGCTGTCTTTGTGCGAGCGTGTGTCCTTGATGCCTGCCCATTACAACACAAACACACTCAACCGCTCTTAGTTTCGACCTTGCCTAGTTTATCTACATATATAGAGCAGAGGAATGTATTTCCAACGAGGCTGGCTTCACAGTGACAGTCTGTGATGTCCTGAGATACCTCGGTAGAGGCAGGCGGGTGATGGACTGTATATTTAGTCTTGAGATGTTTAGGTCTGGAAATGAGGGTTGAGTAAGCCTGGATATACATTTTTGGCACAATGACCAGCAAAACAAGGTCCAAACTATTCTTATCACTGCATGAGGTTTGATGTTTTTTTTTGTATAAACTTATTTTTCTGGGACATTTTTCAGATAATCCATTCATTTAGTCTAGAAAATGTCTGACAATATGGCAAGTGCATTTCATTTGATCAAAACGAAGTGGTTTATTTTCAAGACACATTTGGCATATTGCAGGAATTTTTCCTTCGAACAAGGACACTTTTACAGGAACACAGCATTTCAACCAGGAACCCCAGCCGAAACTAAGTACTGCTTAATTTTTCGACAGATTTTGGCAACGGGAACTTGTTTCATCTCCTACCCAAAAATGTGGTTTCCTTGGAATGACATCACATAACTAAGAAGGATATGATTTCATTATTTCCTCCAGACAAAAGCATGAGTCAACAGTGTCCCACCATCAGAACCCTTTGAGAACATTACTCATTAGCTTAACATTGTTGATTCCACACAAGACCTCTGTAGAAACAGAAATAGAGACATCGTGTCATGGAAAAGAAACTCTGTGTGTGTGTGTGTGTGTGTGTGTGTGTGTGTGTGTGTGTGTGTGTGTGTGTGTGTGTGTGTGTGTGTGTGTGTGTGTGTGTGTGTGTGTGTGTGTGTGTGTGTGTGTGACCTCTCCCTGCGGTGCTGAGTCAATATTTCAGAGGAAGTAGGACCCCGGGGGACATACTTACCCCCAGTTACTGAGGAGTCACTTGAGTGTCTATATTGACTCCATTGGACACACAAGGGCAAACACACATAAACACACACAAACTGTACGAGGAAGCCATGCACAGGCCTCGTCATGCATTCAGTGTCTGACCTATATCAGCTGAGTCTACAATTAGAAAACCCACAAAGTCAGCCTGCTCCTGTGCATCTGCAGCTGCGGATTTCCATGCGAGATGCGTTTGTTTGTTTGTCCTGATGCAGCACACTCACCTCGAGCTCACACACACACACACACACAAATCCGAAAAGCTGTCAAACATCAATCTGAGTATCTGATGTGACACGAGAGTATTCCTTTTGTAAACTCCATCCCTCCATCACTCACCTTTTCTCCAGAGTGGAAGCTAAAGTGACAGGGATGGGTCTCTAAAAAGGCTGACACTGTTCCCTCCTAAGTTCATCAAGAGGTCTCACATTAACACTCTTAAGAGAACTTATATTTTACCAACTACTCCTGGCTATGCTTTTTAGAATATATGTGTGGTTTCAAGCTTTCTATTTGACAAGAACTTTCATTTAATTTAGATTTTTGATTTGATTTTAAAATACTTTATTAAGCCCTGAGGGAAATTCTGGTTTACATTCTGGGCCTGATTTACTAAAGGTTTGCGTGTCTTAAAACGTGTGCAAACTTGATACCACCAGCAAAAAAAAGTGCTATCTGATCTACTAACGGCGCGCAGGAAGGATTGCGTCTTTCATATGAGCAAAACAACACGCATTGTCAATTTAGTAAGTTTGCCTTAATGAATGAAAGTTAGTACATGCGTTGCGATTTACCAAGCCTGGCAAAATTTGCTGTGATTGTGACGGTGTCTGTATTTATCACCTTTGAAAAGAACGTGCTAACCCAGGATTCCAGCGTTACGCACAACAGGCTGCTGTTATTAAAGTTAGGAGGAGGCATAAGCACGATCAAAGAAGGCATACAGATCTGGTGCGCTCCTCTCCATAGTGCGTGCGTCTCCTCCCTCTACAGCCCACTGCTGCTACACTTGGATGGCGGGAGTGTCGTGCCTGAGCGCCACAGAGGAGACAGCTCGCACCTTCTGCGCAATGTATGACAATTCATCTTCAAAAGATGGAGGGAAGAAAAGAGAGGCCCTGTTCAATGTCAAGATTTTCTTATAAGCCAAATTTTCTTTTTGTAATATTCAATTTTATCTGCTATGACTCGAAAATACTGTACGTTTAATGTCTCTTCCACTGATCCCTATTTTGCACTTGCAGTCATCCTGCTTTCCGTCCAAACTCTCCATGACTTAAACCAGTAGAACACGCAAAAACCTACTTTTTTTTTTTTTTAAGATTTATTTTTGGGCTTTTTATGCCTTTTAATGGAGAGATAGGACAGTGGATAGAGTCGGAAATCAGGGAGAGAGAGTGGGGAATGACATGCGGGAAAGAAGCCACAGGTGGGATGTGAGCCCGGGCCGCCCGCTTGAGGCTACAGCCTCCATACATGGGGCGCGCGCACTAACCACTGCGCCCCCAAAAACCTAACTTAAGTACTACCGCCTCCACAAGGTTTGCACCTGGTGTCATTCACGCAAATTTTCTTAGCAGATCACCCGCAAAATGCCCACCAACCAAACGTGCAGTTTGTTGAAACGAACACGCAATTTAGTACTCTTTAATTGGGATCTTAGTACCTTAGTATCTTAGTTGAACCAGCGACCCTCATAGTTCCCAATCCAAGTCCCTACAGACTGAGCTACTGCCACCCCGAGAAAAAGAGAAATACTAAAAGAAAAACTTAAAAATTACACATACCTTTATTTTCACTTCACTTTTTATTTATCCTTTAATTGTGTCTTTTCACACACATAAAAGGAAGTGGTGTATTCCTGGAGAAACGACATGTAGGTAATGGGAGATCAAACTATTATTTCAAGCTGAATATAGGTAGTTAAACTATAAAGAGGAATGTTTACTGCATACTGTATATATTAAAGTACAATCATTTCTGTTTCAAACTATGCAACCACAGTGCTTGTCATACAGGAATATGACTTAACTGCCTTGGCTTGTATATAATCAGATTCAAAGTGTATCCTATTGAGATGTTATTGGATCAAAATTGCTTGTTAATGCGTAAATAGATCACCAAATGTGTGTGCAGATCCATAAACACACCCACAAATGGGTACACACACACAAAGGCCCTCAATGCATTAGCTCATACAGTATGTTTCTCATGATTATTGTTTAAAGAATTGTCTGATAACTCTTATGAAGGATTAATTATTGTTTATTATGTTCTTTATGCTCATAGCCGACATTCTGTGCTTAACAAATGGTTCAACAGCAGATTTTTTTTCTTCTCCACATACAAACCCCAACAAACTTACAGAGCGCTGAGAGAGAAGTACAACTTATCAAAACAGGAACCGAGAAACACGTTAACCTTTATCACAAATGCTCAACGCTGCTGAGCTTCAGGCTGCGGCATCTCTTTTTAAGGAACAATACACAATCTCAACCAGCAAATGAATCACACTTTTCAACCCATCAGATTTCACAGCTTCATAGGAGGTTTAATTACACAAGATTGTGTTTGTGTGTTCGATCCTTTTAGTTTAAACATGTGAAGATATTCCTCTTTCGTTAGTAATGTTTGATCATGAATTGAATTTAAACGGTGAGTTAGTGCTCTTCATCGGACACAAACACACACGCACACAAACACAGATATTCCCAGCAAGTCGGGTGACCTTCCCCGTTTCCCTGCCCTTTTGCTCTCCCGCACCAGCCGTGCGAGCCGGCCTGTTTGTTGACATGAAACATCGGCGACAAAAGGACAAGGGGGAGCGTGATGTGTCTGT